GTAATTGAGTTCGTACTTTGTTGCCCAGTGTAATCGGATTAGGCTGCCTGCAGTTTCCTAGCCAACCGGAGGGAAGCACAACAAAAAAACATAATTTGCGAGAATTGTCACACGACACGGTCGGGGGCACTTTGTACAGACTTATTTGCAATTTGCGAAATGAAAGCGGGAGCGGCGAAGAGGACGAAGGTCACAGGAAGCCAGGAAGCCAGGAAGTGGGGTGAAAACAGGAATTGGACGGGACACTTAATCATGCATGTCAAGTCGAGTAGTTGTCCCGCTCGCAGCTCTATCGAACTCATCATAATCTCCACTGCGAGTACGCATCATTATCGACTGCATTTCCCCAGGGGGAGTTGATGTTGAACCCCCTGTCCTTTCCCCTTCAAAATAATATATAGAGCCCTCCCAAGTTTTTCGCTTAGTTCCGGCATGCGACAGATGCAACAGACGTGCAGACATCCGGGGTCTGGGGTTCGGGGTTCGGGGATTCGGGCATCGGGGATCTGGGGGTTTTCGGCACGACCGCAAGCGGGTCTTAAAAGGTCCACCCCATTTCGCCCCCTCTCACGCTGTCACTGCTCATTGTCAGCAAAGTGTCGGTGGGCGGGGGGTGTGGCCTTCAGCGGGGGACGAGGAAAGGGGTGGCGTAGAGGCGGACGGTCGGTCAACAAGCCACAGCACCCCTCGAAACGGCACCGAACGTTTCCATTTTCAAGGGCCTTAAACCAACTTTTTTGCACTCAAGCAACCTGCCAGATTACGTCAATGTGGAAAGGTGGCCATAAAAAATCTTTGCATGCACAGTGGTTTCGGAACAATAAAAAAATATTGAATATTTTTCGGAATAATATTATGTTTAATTTGTAAAATATTCAAGAGTGCCTTATGTACTTGTGTTCTTATAAATTTTAGTTATTTTTATTGAAAATTAACTTACATTGTTCTTTAAGGTATAACATTTTAATTTTAAAACTGATTATGTGCAATATATCTTTCATTTCGAATAAGGTACTTTTGTAATAAAATCCTTTGTTTATACTGGTTTTATTTCGTTCAGTTTTATGACTAGCATTTAACCACTGTGGTTGCCTTTCGAGGACCGAGCACCACCGCATCAGGAGCATCAGGAGAATCAGGAGCAGCGATGGCGGTGGCCACACAACAAAGGACATAGACGATAAGACGACGACAACGGCAAAGGCAACCGCTCCCGTGGTTTCCGCTGCAATTGCACTTAAAAAAAAAGTAATGAAAAAACAATGAAACAAAATTGAAGGCAAATTAAATATCATTTAAAAATAGAAACAACTTGAAGCGTTTAAATTCCAAAGCAAGCTGACTAATTTTTAGTAGAACATAGTAACTTTTAACCTTTTTTTCGAGTGCATGGAAATGTTGTATGCTCAGTGGATGGCGGCTGATGAAGAGGGGGTGGAAAATGATTTCCACTTTGGCCAAAGGCAGCCGACACCCGCCAACAATAAAAGCAAATTCAATGCGTTTTGTGATAATTTCGCACTACACGAGAAGCGATAAACCCCGGTAGACGGAGATCCAGAAAAACCGGAGAGTGCGGGGGGAAAAGCAAATGCTAAAGCCGTAAACGAGCAAATAATAAAAATTTCATATACAGCGAAAAGCGAAAAAAAGTAATAATAATACGGAGCGATGTAGAAATACACGGGTGTGAATAGTGAATGAGGGTCGGATGTGCGGATGCGGATGCGGAAGTGGATCGAAGGGATCGCAGGGGGATGAGGGGATGTTGGCTGGGTGATAGTCCTGCAAGGTGTCGAATTGCCTTTTGGCGGGGGGGAGTGGTTATGCCGAGTGTCCTGGGTGTCCTTTCCTCGAGTGGTTGCAAATCAAACGGCAACAATGCAATCAACAAATTTCGTTACCCCGGGTGGGTGCAAATTTAGTTATTGTTCGGAGTCCTGGAATCCTTTGGGAATGCCTCGGCCATAATTTAATACGGCTGGCCCATTATTTCATTAGTTCAAGGATGGCCATCCCCCTCGATTTCCTGCAATTTATTCGGGCCTGGAAAATAAGATACGGAAAGAGAAATGGCTGTAAATTGGTATAAACTGCAAATGGCAGCTAGACGCATAAATTAGTAAATTTCGATTTTGATTTTGCCAGTTTAATTGTTTGCAAAAGCGGCCCATGTCCGGCTTTCCCCACCAACAACAATAGTAATTGTCTTTGGCTGGCCAAACATGTTGTATCTTTGTATCTGCATCTGTTAGCTAGGTGTACGTTCAGCCTTCTGTTGGCCATTATACATATATTTTGTATAATTAACATTTATGGACAAAGAATCTACTGTGCTAAAGTCAGGAACACAACTTCTCCTCGTTGTTTTCTATTTCCCCCCGAAAAATTATCAAAGTGAGTATATCAAAAATCCAATTTCCATTCACAATGCAGCCCAAAAGTATGCCTTTTATGCGAGTGAGTTTTTGGAACACCCCTTACTTCCCTTCTGATCCACAACAGATTTTCGAGTGTAAAAGTTTTTGTGGTCTTGAAGGGCCCATAGAATTATGCAAGCAACTCGCTGGAAACGCACTTGAACTTCTCCTCGGTCCGCACGTCCAGTGCAGCACAAATGCATAGAAACAATGAAAATTAAGTTGATGTAAGCAAATGCAAAACTTTATGCAAATCGCTGGCTAACCACTACACACAAACACACACACCACACAACAACAGCAACAAATACGCACAACAGAGGCATTGGCAAGAAACTGTCAGTCAGCCAGGCGGTCGAGAGCAGAGACCAAATGGGGAACTGATTCTGATTCTGATTCTGATTCCAAGTCGGACTTGGTTCTCACCCACTGAGCTGGAGTACGCAAAACAGTGTATTAAACAAGTTAGAGCGCTGAGTAAACAGAGAAAATCAAGATGACTAGGTGCCTTCTCAAAATTTGGTTACATGTCATTGGAGTAGTTATGGTATTCTAGTTAAAGTATTTTTACTTACCTGTATAGATTGCTTAACAATGAAATTAAATCAATTAAACAAATTATTATATTATTTAGTTAATAAGCAAATAAACTGTCAAATAATATATGCTTACTGACAAGGAAAACTTTTAGGCCTCATAATAAAAGTACAAAATAAATGACCCAAAATATAAACAAATAAATAAATAATGAAGTTCAAATACCAGTACATGAAATGAAGTATACATCTCATAAAAATGTAGACCTAAGAACATAGCAGGATTATTGCACATCGTGTGCTAAGGCTTATCCTTAGAAAATAATTATCCCCCGAACATCTCGAGACTCCTGACCACTCATACCTTGAACAATGAAAGGTTGACAACGAAATCCATCTGTTTAATGGTCTCGGGCCAACCCACTGGCCGAACCCACCCACATTTTCCTGATATGTGGCCCTCCTCCACGTGTCCACATGTACTCGTATGCCCGTCTAATCCCCGAGATTACAAAAGCCTTCCCGGGCGACCCAACCGCAGTGTGGGGCAAAACTATTACGCTTGATAAATTCGAGATTAAAGTGCATTTGCCGACGGGCCGGGATCTGTTGGCCGGGCCCAAAAGGGCATACAATTTATGGCCATACATTTGCCGGATTTCTTTCCGTTTTCTTTGGCAGGATACTTTGGAGAGCCGGCAGTCCTTTTAATTATCACACGTAATGACAGCGCCAAATGCAATTGCTAATTAATTGCCTTGGACCGACCACTTCATACTATATACACTCGTATATATATAGTATGTGGGGTTGGAATTTATGGCTTATACATTTGTTTGGCCCGACATTATTATTCCGACATGTGCGGTTATGGGGAGATCTAGATCCATCCAATGCAATTTCCCTCCGCCTTGAGGAAGTGGTTGATTCGTGGGCGTTGCTTGACAAATGGGAAAATGCTTCATTAGTGCACCATCAGCGGACTTAGGGGAGGAAAAACAATGCAGATGGAAAAGCCCCCAAAAACTGACTAAATAAAACCTGCGAATAATACGCAATTTATTTTCAGAGCCAACTTGAACTTGAGACGCGTTGAACTTGGTATTCAGTTTTTTTCAAAGGCTAATAACGATAATCGTTCGGTGGCTGTCAAAATTGCCGCAGAATATAATTGGCAACTGGCCATAGAGAAGCGCTCGACGTCCCATGATTAACGATGAGAGCATTATGAAAAAGCCCAAAACAGCACACACAGAATGGAGAACAAAAAGCAGCAGCTCGATACAATGGAATCTCCAAGATACAGCGGAAACTACATCGAAACAATCACAAAAGATGTTAGCCCGCCGATTAGGTCCAATTACTGGAACGGGGGTACGGGGATCTGATCTACGCATAACGCTCGGAATCTCAGATGCAACTCAGAATCTCAGATGCCCCACCCACGAGTGCATCGGAAACAACAGCAACAACTCACTTCGGCCCGGTCAAGATCTTATCCGCAAAGCTCTAACAAGCCGTCAACAACAGTAGCACACTGTGAGAAAAACCCATAGAATGGTATAAATATTACAGAATTAAAATCATTTAATTTGTGATAAAACTACAAAATCGAAATATATAAAAACAAAAGAGCTATGTTCAAAAACTTTAAATAAAATCTACTGACCAACATTCCTTCCGTTAAATGATAAGATCTTTTCTTTCATATTAATACATTTATAATGATTTCATTGCTGCACCTTAAACTATATTTAATTTCCATAAGATTATGAAATACAAATCAATCATATTTTAAAAATCTTTAAAATATATTTAGCACTTTTTCCTAATCAATCAATATTAAAAAAGCATTACAACCAATTAATTACAAATTCGTCACATATTTTTTGCCTGTGCAACAGTAAGTAAAACTTTAGTAGATTTAAAAAACAAAAGCAACTTTTTTCAGCTCTCCAGCTTCGCCAGTTAATTTTAATGAATCTCCGTAGATATTCGAAATCAGCTTGCTTGTTTTGCCTCGCTTAGTTGTTAGTCGGCGGTTTTCAAGTGTGCACACGAGACGCGCTCCATTCTCGAGATCAGTTAACAAAAAATAAAACAAACACCAAAGGAATTACCCATTAGTAGAATCGGTTCTTCACGGCAATATGCTGTCAACAATGAGCTCTTTCACCGCCCACCTATTGTTGCTATTATTTGGGTTCCTGCTGTTAACTCATCACTGTGTCCAAGGTTGTTCTGAGTAATTGGCCGACAATCAATCACGCGGCGGGCGAAAGAAGTTCCTCCATGAGTCAGCTGAAATTTTCGGGAATAAATGTGGTTTCGATTTGGGAAATTCCAGTGGTTGGGGAACTACGGAGTCAAGCAATCTAGTCAGATCGTCAAAATCGTGCGTGCGTGCGAATTTCCAATAATTATTTTTGATTTATTACAAAGAAAAATTCCTAATAGTTCCTACTAAGTGTTCCGAAAACAATTTAATTCAATTCAAAGTCGTGAAATCATAACGACTTATATTTAAATTAAACAAAGAATTGTATTGAAAAGAATATATTAACAATGTTTTACCTTTTCACCACTTGCTTGTCTTAATTTAACTTTCTATTAACCTAAAGTAACTCTCTTGGCAAATACAAAAACCCTTCCATTTCAATTAAAACTTATTGAAAATCCATATTTCGCCCCAACACTAAACCAATCAATGATGGGATTACCGCGGAATTATCTGAACAATCCGCAGTAATTGCGGACACTCGAAGCTTAGCGGAGCAAAGTCCGTGGCTCATTGAAGACTTGCACCCCGAGGTCGACCCTTTCGCCCCCTAATTGGTAGTCACTGCCCCGTCGAAATCCGATTCTGATTGCGACTAATCCCATAATTGTGGCTCCGGCCGTGCATATTCAAGTGCAACCTCAAATCGGTCAAGTCGCCAGCTCAAGTTCCAGATTAGTTCAGTCGGTTGGATGGCTGGGTTCGCTGGCAAGCGGTGAATATCCATAAATAAGTCAGCGCGTTCTAATTGCATCACTTATGTGCCACGGATCCACTCCGCAAGAGCACGCTCCAATTCATCCGATAAAAGTCCGGGCTAGAGTTTGCGATTGGAGGGGGTGGATGGTGGGGGTGTGTGTGGTCCATGGTCCATGGTGTTTGCATAACTTTAATTAAATTTCTGGTAAATCTAATTTCCATGCTAAACCGAAAACAAACAACGATGATGGCAACCAGGTCAGGCGAATAAAGTGTCCTCCAAGTTGGATTTCGATGAGAGCGGCAACAATCAGACGGGTTCTCCCGGTCAACAGGGGCAGGTTAGTGGAGCCGGCAATGGGAATTACGACCCGGGAACGGGACGCAGTTTGAGCGGAGGGGCCAGTAATTCGGGGAATTCAGCTGGAGGTGGAACAACCTCCGGCGGGGGAAATCGCCCCAAGATCCACGGAGTACGGGTCACCGTCGATACAGGCGATGGACAGCAGCAAACGAAAGGTAATTAAATTCCCTCACACCCCAGCTGCTAAATGCAAAATACCCAAAAACTAACGAACGATTCCCCGAAATTAAAAAAAAATACAACAAAATACAAAACAAATAAAGAGTCGAAGGAGAGTGTGGAAATTACGGACTTGGGGAAGCACAAGAAGCGTGTGGGCATCCACACGGACATCACGTTCGAAATCACCTCCGACTCGGATGGAAATGAAACCAGCTCCGCTCAGCAACAAGGTGACAAGGGTGAGTGGTCCTTTGAAGGCTCCTTTCAATTTCACTTTTTCCCCTGCCCCCTGCCAAAGTAAATACGGGGTCAAGGAGTTGCGATTCTCATTGGCAGGGGTGCCACAAAAAATTAGGTTACCTTCTAAAATATTTAGAGAAGCTAATGAATGGTAGCTTTTCGTGTTATAAAATCCATATATTTAATCCAATTAAACTACGTACATACTTTAAAAGTTTCATTGTATTTTGGTATATGTCCTTAAGACTTCTGAGAGCACAGCGTGTTGTGGCATACTTTTAGGAACCTTTTCAGGACCATAAATCTCTAGAGATTTATTTTTATTAATTCTAGCAAGTATATTATTTTCTTTGGGGGATGTAAATCGTAATAATTGTATAATCTTTTTTGAGAAACTTAGAATATTATACCCCTGAAAAATGCACTAATTCTAAATCCATAACTTTTCTAATTTTAATCAGATTTTGAAGTGGCATACATCTAAAAGCTTTGTATTTTAATTCTCTAACTAACTGTACCATTAATTTATTTTTTATTTTTTTTGGCCGGTTCTTTTTTTTAATTCCTGTCCAAATTTAGCATAAAATGGAATTGTTGAATATTCACCAAAATAATTATTTAGTTGTTTTGTATGATCTCTATATATATTATCTATTATATTTTATTTTATTTTGGTTTCTCAAATTGCCCAACAGAGGACGCCAGTGTGCCCATTTACAAGGGACGCGGCGGCAGCGATTCGAGGCACAAGTCTCGCAAACCCTACGACCCCAAATCCCAATGGAACCCCAATTTCTCGGCCGAGCAGCATGGCTACCAGGGAAGCAACCAAGGTGGCTACCAGGGTTCCAATCGCGGTGAATACTATCCGCAGTATTATCCCCAAAACGTTTACACCGGCGGGAATTCCGATGCGGGCAGCATCTACAGAAACGGGGAAACCTGGACGCACTACGTCCCAGTTTGGACCACGGAGCGGGTGCCCCAGGAGCAGGGACAGCTCTACCGGCGACACAGTTGGAAACCCTGTTACTGCATGTCATCCGCGGATTTCAGGCGTCGACGGGACAGCAAAGCCAAGAGAGATCCTGGTGTAATCAACAGTGGTGTCCTCCAGGTTGATGGAAAACTGGAGAGACCCTTCTCCTGAGAAAAATCTGTCGCTTAACCTAACAATCGCCTCCTCTTTTTCTAATAATTCATTTAATAAAGTTATTGCTGTAGACTTTTCAATTGAACTTCATATTTAAATCTGTAAACAATCCCCCTTGAAAAATTAAATTAATTAAACATTTAAACAATTCATTTACTTTCACATTATTTTACACAAACATTTGGAGATGATTAGCGCACTCCATAAGAACACGAAAGGTTTCTAGTTTTGACTGCAGATCACTGTCACTCGTTTACGAGTGAACACTGTAGGTGCCGATCTTGCCGTTGTCATCGACGGAGGCGGTGGCCGCATGGTAACCAGTCTTCTTGCCATTGATGTCATAGTTCTCGCTCTCGCCGGTGGCCAGATCCTTGTAGCTCTTCACATTGCCATTGGAATCGAACTATAATAAAAGAACAAGTGGTCAGGGTTTTGAAATGGAAATAAGTCGGTATGCAGAATACATATCTACTAAATCTTTTAAAATCTCAACAATTTATTTATATTAAATTTAATGTTTGAATTAAAATATAAAAATCTTAATTAATTGGGAAACACTCACCTCCGACTGGGAAGACCACTTGGACTGCTTCTCCCACTGCTTGGTCTGGTATCCACTTCCGGAGTTACCGGCTCCGAACTGCTGTCCGCCGGCCAGACCCGCATTGAGTCCGAGTCCCAAGGACTGCTGACCGCCCAACAGAGATCCCTGGCTGCCACCCAGCAAGGATCCACTGAGCAGAGAGGCACTGTTTCCGGCATTCAGAGAGCTGGCGGAGTTCAGGGAGTTGGCGGAGTTAAAGCCAAAGCCGGATTGGAAGGCGGACTGAGAACCGAACTGGGCACCAGATTGAGCACCGAACTGGGAGCCGGACTGCAAGCCAGATTGAGATCCAAACTGGGATCCAGACTGCAAGGCGGAGTTGTAGCCACTGCCAAGTTGGACCTGGTTGGCCGTGGATGAACCGGAGGAGGCCTGCTGGCGGGCATTCAGCTGAGCCTGCGAGAGGATCTGGCTGAGGTGGCTGTTCTGGCCACCCTGGAAGTTCAGTCCCGAGCTAAGGCCGGAGCTCAGAGCGGCATTCTGGCCAAAGGAGGAGGCGGAGTTCAGAGCGGCGTTCTGGCCAAAGGAGGAGCCAAAGTTCGTGTTGAAGGCGGAGCTGCTGCCGAAGTTGGAGGCGGCGTTGCTGCCAAAGTTGGAGGCGGAGTTCGACCCGTAGACCAAACGGGCTGTGGGCTGGGAGGCGGTGGTGGTCACCTTACGCTGGTAGAAGTGCGCGGTCTGAACGGGAGCCTGGACGACACGCACCTGGCTGGGCTGCTCCACGATGCGCTCCTCGTGGTGGACATAACGCTGGGATCCGCCGGGAACGGTGTAGGTCACCTGCTGGGGGGCAGCCTCCGAGGTCACGATCTTCTCGTGCCTGTAGTAACCAGAGGAGGCGGGAGCCGTCTGAACGGTCTGCTGTACTCCGCTGAGCAACTGGGCACTGGAGTCCACGGCGTTGACGCCACCGAACTCGACCTTGCTTCCGGCATTGGCGTTGTCGGCGAACTGGACATTGCTGCCCACGTGGTGGCCAGCGGTGGTTCCAAAGTTCGAGGCGGAACTGGTCTGGAAATTGGTCGAGAATTGGGAGCCAAAAGAGGCGGCGTTCTGGGAGCCAAAGGAAGCAGCATTCTGGGCACCAAAAGATCCAGCACTCTGAGAACCAAAACCAGAGCCAAACGCGGCACCACTGTTCACATCGAGGGAACCCACGGATCCAGCGCCAAGTCCCACCTCAGCACCACCGCCCAGAGTCTCAACGGCACCACCGGAACCACCGGCGACGACACCTTCGGCGGATTCAGTGACACCCACCGAGTCGTAGGAGCTCTCCAGTTTTCCCAAGCTGCCGGAGGAGCCATCAGCCTGGCCAGCGACTCCGCCAGAGTAGCTTCCCTGGTAACCACCTCCGTAACCGCCTCCGTAACCACCGACTGAGGCGCTGCCTTCAAGGCCAGCGTTCTTGCGAGCCTCTAAAATGGCCTGCTGTTGGGCAGCGTAGTGGCTAAAGTTTGAAATTTATAAATTTATTAAAACATATTTAACAAAAAAAAGAGCTTCGAATATCTGGTTAACCATTAAAATAAAACCGAATTACAATTTTGAAGTGTCATGCCAGCCAATGGAAAAATTTCAATTTTTTTGGTATCAAAAAAAGAAAGATCTTCAACATTTGCCACACGGCACTTACCGAGAGTGGAATTCATCCCGTTTGGTTCTACCCAAATATCAAAATTATGGAATACAACATAGATTATAAATGTAGATCAAGTGATAGGGCTTGTAATCCAAACTTACCTGCTTTCTAGATCTGAAATTAAAAAATTGAGAAATTTATTAGTTAACGAATGAAAAGTATATCATCAAATAATTTATATATTTCTAAAATCTTTAACTTTTTTCTGTTACGCTTTTACAACACCAAAAAAAATCCGTCTTAAAAGGGTTAATACACCTTTCAATTTGGTTTTATATGTGGTTCAAATAACCTATTTTTTTCGTTCGTTGTTTTTTAATCTGATCGTGTAATCAATATTCCCTTTAAAAATATTTACTAACTCTTATCGCCACACGCGCTTCATTCCCGGGAAATTGCACAATTTTCCCAAGATGTTGTGTAAATATTTCATTGAGGGAAAAACATTGTACGACATTCAGATCTGATGAGCTGTCTTTCTGTGTTTAAATCAGATTAACAGGACCTGGAGCTCACTGTACTATACGTTTTTTTGTTTTTAGAAGTACATATTAATTTTTGAAAAACTTCACTACCTGCACAGACCACACCCAAGCAAAGGGCGAAAATCAGCAACTTGTTCATTTTTGGTAATTCGTTGGATTTTCGTCCGGGAAAACGTTCGAGACTCGCGATTGAAATTGTACTAATGCAATCGGACGTGGGGAGCCGCGCTTTAAAGCCTCAGACATCGGGGAAGATAAGGTCCGCATATAACTCAATCTTGAACCGATTGATTCTTGACCTAGAGAGGATGCTGACTGATAGTGTCACATACATTTCGAATTGGAGCTCGCAATTGGTGCAGAAAGCCGAGTGATGAAAGTTAATTGCGACATCATCGCCCTATATAGAATATATTTTTTTCAATTCAGTTTTAACGATCGCCGGAACCTTGCTCAAGACATTCATACCTATTGTTCAGTTGCCATGTTTGACTGGGAGCATTATCACTTTGGCGATTATTTATATACATACGAACTTGATTATAGGTAGAAGACGATTGTAATGAGCTCACTTTGAACTTAGAATAATGGTGAGCAAGGTGAAGGAATACATAAAAGACCTTGAGCTCTAATTTGTATTCAGGAAGTGAGAATTTCCCTTTCCGATTTAGCGAATAGTTTTAAAAACAGTCTCGTCGTAAATTTTGTAAACAAATTTGCGTCTTGGCAATTTATTAGAGGTTTGAAGAGATAGTGATCTGATGAATCTGATTGGGGCAACCGTGATCATTGACGTAAAATTACATACCAAAATAGATTACTAAGCTATCGGATAATACCTGATTTGGTACAAGTTTGTAATGTTTTAATTTCAACGACTTGACAAATTTCCAGATCTTCACTTTCGTTCAAGTCAATCACGAATTAAGAATTTCAATTTGAAAGTTAGCCATTTTATATTCAAATCCAATGTGATGAGGTATCACATTTCCTGTCACCTTTGATAAGGTCTTTCATTAAAAAAAAACCAAAACATTCAAACAAAAATAAAAATAATCTATTCAAATGTCTTGCAAATTAATGTATTCAATTACGTATACTTGATTTATTTATATACCAAATGAAATACAAAAATTTTAAGGCTATACCAGCAGACAAAATCAAGGTCAATATACAAGTTTATTAATTTGCATATTTTTCTAAGATAGTGAAACTTTCTAGTGAAGAAAGCTTTGGATTAGAAACGCCACCGATAAGAAAGTCCATGAATACACACTAAATACACGTATATTTATATATATATTTTTAAACACATTATACGGAAAAAGTTGGGCAAAGGGAATTCCATTGATCTGTTTAAGAGTGCACCGAATACGAGGTGACCTTTCCGTTATCGTTGACGGTGGTCTGGGCGCCACGTCGACTGGTTCCGTCTCCGTTGCTGTGGCTGTAGGAGGACACTGAGACACCCTTGTAGCCACCACCACCTCCACTGCCTCCTCCGGAGCTGCTGGAGCTGGAGAAGGAGGAGCCACCGCCGCTTCCGCCTCCAAAACGATTCACAATGTTGGGGGAGGCCTGCGGAAAATGAATTTTAATTACTTAAATGTTTATATTTATTTAAATTTTAATATACCAAATATTCTATTCAACTTTTTCATTACGAAATAAATAACAACATAACTTTCTCATCTAGACTTTTCACCAGGGATACAAAAAATTGAGATGATATGCTAAACTTTTAGCTTTACTTGAATATTACTTATTTTTACAATTTGTTGTACTACAACTGCATTAATTTGTGTTTTATAAAAACGAATTCCTTACCGGATTGGCTGGGTTAATAAAGGCCGTCTGACGATATCCGTTGGGTCCAATGGATCCCGAGGCGGCGGCATAGCTGGGGGCATACCGATGAGAGTTATAGGAGCCACTGCTCGATCCCGATCCAGATCCAGAACCACCTCTATACCGATTTTGGCGAATAAGATTATCGTGGTAAGCCTGCTGGGCGGCAATCTGCTGCTGAATGCGACTGTGGAAAATATTGAATTAGATTAGTAAATAAATAGATAAATATATTATTTTAATTAATTAAAGAATTAGTTAGAAACTAGTATAGCTTGTGGTAATTACATATCATTGTCGTTGACTAGAGAAGCATCCGCAGATGCAAAAGCATTGCCAGAGGTGGCCAATCCCGTTACAGCTCTACAAGAATATATAGAATAGATAGATTCAAGCGTTAGGTTAACCCTTAGCCCGTCGTAAGAGTAGAAAGCACCCCCAACCATTGCAAACCAATTGATCAATTCTCACTGTTGGTTGGCGTAATTCTGGGCCAAAATGTGGTTCGTCAGCTGCTGATGGAAGAGATAGGGATCGATGATGCCGAAGTTTGGAGAGTAGCCATCGTAGTCATCGTAGTCGTAGTATCCGCCACCACCTCCTCCACCAGTTCCCACAAAGCTGCTGTGTCCCACGCCTCCTCCTCCGCTGTTGTAGGTTCCCGTGTAGCCACCTGCTCCTCCGCCACTGCTCGCGTATCCTCCCGCATATCCTCCGGCGTAGGCTCTCCTCTTGCGAGGAGGTGCTCGGTTAGCTGGAATTAAATGATAATTATTAATATTTAATTACTACAAATTTGCAACCCAATTTTGATTTACATGGTTGGGTCGATTTATTCTCATATATTTTTACAAACATTTAAAAACTGATTTTAGAAAAATACATATCTGTACATAAATTATAGTTGCTATTTTTAAGAATTCACTAAAATTATCCAAAATATGAATTTACAGAAAGGCAATGTAAATAATTTACATAACATTTTGAAGTCTAAGATATACTTTTATTATTTGAAGAATCATTTATATATATCGGAATGATTTCACCTAAACAAATATAAATGAAGCTTTTTTAATTCAGAATAGTTGTATATATATGAGCTTTACTTACCCCCCGATGATTCCCCATTGAGAGCACTCATCACCACACAAATAAGCAGTAACTTCCACATCTTAATTACCTGGCATCTGCGTATGCGAAATTCGTTTTAAGTTAAGAGCTGCGGGTGTAAAAAACAAAACAAAGATATTAATTTGAAACTGGTTGCAAAATTGGAGTAAATAGAACTTGTTTAGTCCGAGCGATACTTTGTACCCTATTAACTTGGAGTGTTTATGGATGAAGCGGAAATAGATACACTCGAGTGTATACATGGAAAGATGACTTGTTCTTATATAATATTAGATCCCAAGTTTGCCCAGAAGCATCTGCTAATGACTGAGAGCCGCTGGCTCATTGTTTCCCGATACTTTCGCACCCATTGTCATTAGTAATCGCTCCGAGGTTTATGGATTCTAAACCTATAAATCCGCTTGCATAAGCCGGTCATGCATTACTCGTAATCGATGCCTTGCAGCGGGTCAATGGCTTCACTGCATCCCCTGGTTAACCAAATGCAATGTCTATAAGCCATTTTCCGCAATTACCAGCATTTCATATAGGTTTCGCATTGCCCCGCCCACAACTAATTGCCCTTACACGATTTTTCAATAATGAATTGGCGAAAAGAAATCACGGGTTAAGCCGGTTAGCGGGAGGAAGAGGCCCGGCCAACCGAATCGAAAACAGAAAACGGAAAACCCCAAAATGTAAATTAATGGATCCCAATATGACTCGCTATATTCTTTATTATTCGACTGCCAAAGAAAGAAAGAGAAGAGCGAACCGGTTCTCACTAATTTGTTCAAAGTTTAGAAATTGATATTGAATGTTTGGTTTCGTTATTTTATTTTGTTTTTCCCCTCTGCCGTTTTTTTTGCCGTTTTGTATATTTTTGGTGCGCCATTTATATTCCGATTTGTTGCCGCTTTTGTTTGTTATTTTTTTACAGAAATTTATCAAGTAGCCATTAAGAGCGGGGATTTTTTGTGTTCAACAATTGAGCTGTTCTAATTGAATTTTAGCTGAGCAACCGGTCTGAAGATGATTTACAATTTTCTTTTCTTATTTTTTGTACATGAAATATTTATAATTAACAACTTTTGGCACGACTCCGTTGAAACAAAGGAACTTGACTGAGGAACTCGACTGAGGAGCACTCCCGATGAACAAAACACGTTATTGTTTTGATTCGCCCCTGACTTTGATGATCACCGAGCTGTTTTCAATGCGAGATCCCTCATACAACATCATTAAAATCGCGCTGATAAGCGAGAATTACATTGAACACCCGCAGCACATACACTTTTCAATGCGGAATCAAAACTGCGCCACAAATTGGCAAAACTATCAAATATTGTTCAGATGATTGGGTCTGAGTACTCTTTCCATATAGATAGAGAGTCCAAAGAGATCTCAGTTCGAAGGCAGAGATACAGCAACACGGCGAGCGCGACTCACTTGATTTGTTTATGATTCGGTTCTTGACAGGTTTTCGTTTTTCGACCGCGGACTCGAATTCTCGGTTCTCGCTTCTCGATTCTCGATTCTCTCGCACGCTGCGATCTTCTTCACTGGGCGAATACTGGACTACGTCTGAGTCGGATCAGGTGGGTCCAGGTCCTCTTATAAACGATCGAACACCTGTGGATTGGCCGGCAGCGATGACGCCTGCTGCGATGACACCGAATAGAGAGTCGAAACGCTTACCGAATCGCACGCCTCGGGGATTTAATATCAAAGGGAGAATCGCTAACTGAATAATTATAATAAAAAGAAACGTTCAGATACACTGGTTTGCGGGGAAGAATTTTCCAATATTGTATCTGTTAAAATGTGGGTGTCATAGAAAACAAACTTCTAAGCAAAACAAAGAGTTAACGGTGTAAAAATTATATAGAAGAAAAACCAGATTATTAGGCATTTATACCAACCGTTCATCATTCTGCAATCAATTATTATTATTATCAGTAAATCCCATTCAAATAACTATTTTTTATGTTTTACTGATTTTTATAGGTTTTTATTTAACTCGTTTAACTTTAAACTAGTAACAGATTTGATCTTAAAATACGCGAATGTACGTTACAGTGGGTAAATGATAAAAAAAACGCTTTCATAGGATCGATGCGAATGTAGTTTGCCATAATACCTGATTGCCAATGAGGCAACAACAATTACAAATAAACTTGGGTTACTTTGCGCCAGCCAAACGCTCGAATTTCCAAGTCACAGGCACTTGTCTTTCTCAAATCCTCGCTTCGCCTCAAAGTTTTAAAGTTTCTCCTCAGTTTCGGTGGGGAATCCTCAAAGTTTCGACTGAGCCTGCGGCAGGATGACGTCACGCCACCACGAAGGTCGCTGGAAGGCTCCCTCGTTGGTCATAAATTCGTTTTGCAAATTCTCATAGAGCAGACCATCTGCGCGGGCAATCACCGAATTCAGTGCGAAATCGGGTGGCGAAATGGCATCTGCGATGCTCACAGCCACATCCTTTAGTTTCAAGCAACTGTCCAGCAAAAGTTGGCGAACAGCTGCCGAGAAATCCCGGCCAGATGCAAAGCCACCCACATAGAAGGTGGTCATGTGCTTCTCCAGCAGCCACATGGCATAAACATCGAAGAGCAGCCGCAGAACGGAGGCATACGGAGCCTCCACCTTCAGTTTGCTAACATGCTCCACATATCGAGTCAAAGCATAATACTCCGCATAGGCCAAGGATAATTCCCGGGCTCCGGCCACCTGCGAATTGTTCCTCGCCTCAAAGCGACTGCATCCCGCCGCCAACTGGCCATCAATGTGATCCGTAGTTTTGGCCATCAAATGGCAGAGCAGCCACTCGTAGCACCGAAGGGAAACTGCAATAAAAAATATAAGTGATCAGTCAAATAAATTCTAGAAAATGTTTAGCCATAATATTAATAATAATCTATCTAATAATCATTAAAACAAAATATTATATCAATATTTCATTTAAATTGAGCATTTTTAAAATTTTTTTGGAATAGTCTCAAACAAAAATGTAATATTTTCATTTCAGCAAAACGTTTACGCTTTCTAAATCTTGTCCATAACCTCTTTGCTTTTTCTACAATTGAATGTTCTTTTTAATGAGTTTGAAAACCTTATTCACTCACATTGCCAACTGGAAAGAGGAGTCTTCTGCACCAAGGATGCGTAATTGAGGGCCAACAGCTCCTGTCGTTGTTCGAGGAACTTTACACTGCCAATTGGCGTTTCCAGTTCCTTGGCGCTCCACTGACGCAACAGCCAATTGGATGCCTGTTGCCCGAGGACATTGTTATCCCCCTCGTAGGTGCACAAAGGATCGTGGTCGGTGCGCATCTGGCCAAGTTTGGCCGCTGCCAAGTAGCCATGCCCTCCGCAGGCCTCTCGAGCTTCCTGAATGGCGTCCCGAGCTGCCCAAGTGATTAAGGGCTTCGATGAGGAGATTAAGGCATGAATCTCAGCAGCATTTTGAGTCTGAAAAAATGTTTGAAATTAGATTTCGAACAATGAGAGGTTATAGGTTAACTCACCAATATATCAAAACCATTGGAATCCGCTTGGGAACGGGCTATAATCTCCATGTAAGTGATGGTCAGCTCTTCGGTGGCAATTTTCTGAACGCAGGCAGCAGCCAAATAGGGGAATATGCGATATTGCTGACAAGGAAATAAATAGATATTATTAACTAGTATTCAATAGATAAATAAGATTTTTTGGAAGGTAATTAAAAATAGACAAGCCTAAGCTTTAACAACAATTAAAACAGAATTTATTATTTTTATAATTCCAAATGTATATTCCAAAACATTAATATTTGATTTATCATTGATTCATTTTGAGTCAAGTAAAGTTCTAAGGCTTCAGTTACATGTTTCTATTGATTCTTCTAAATTAATGCTTTAATTTTTTGGTCTCAACTTACATGCAATTGGTACTCCAGAATGGCCATCTCCTCACCCTGTCGCTCTGGGCCAAATTGCTTGCGAACAGCCGCATATCGAACTGCGATTACGGCGGCACTGCACAGGGTGTTAGCCGATTCCTGCATAATGCCAATTCGTCCGGCGGAAAAGCTTTCGAGTGCCGCTCCCAGGACTTTTCCCGGTTCGGTGAAGACACTTTCGTAAACTCCTTCGGGCGTGACGTCACTCGTCCGATTGAGGAGATTGTCGCGCGGAATGCGATAGTTGGTGAAGACCACGAATCCATTGTCGATGCCATTCAGGCCACACTTCTCGCCAATATCCCCCACCAGAACTCCAGGGTACGAGAGTAGGGTCTTTGGATCGCGAATGGGAATCAGGAAGCCATGCAGTCCGTGATTTTGACCATCAGCCGTGTAGAGATTGGCAAAAGTCATGGCCACCGTGGCGGTTTTCCCCAGATTTCCCACCCAACACTTGGCCGCCTCGAAGTCCGGCGTGTTGATCACAAACTCCTGGGTGCTGGGATCATAGGTGGCCGTTGTCCGGATGCTCTTCGTATTGCTGCCATGCGATAGTTCCGTGATGGCCAAACAAGTGATCACTTCCCGATTCCAAGCTGCCTCGATATATTTCGTGTGCTTTTCGGTTCCCATTGCTCGGATGGCATTGTTAAACAATCCCACTCCCAAAGCAATCTTCACGGATAAACTGGGAGAATAGCAGGCCAGAGCCTCGTTGATGTACATCAAGTACTTGGTCTTGGCCGAGAAGCTCAGTCGCTCGATCTCCTTGGGCACCAAATCCAGGTGCTTCATGCGATTCACTTGCATTGCGCACAGGCGCTTCTGCTCATCCATGGGCAGCGTTCGAGAGGGGTGGGCGAAAAGGGGGTCGTTCTCCAAGCGGCGCCATACTTTGTACTGCAAAAAAAAGGGGGGATCATTATTTAAGTTATGATATACAACGTTAGAAACGAGTAAAGAACTATAAATTGAATTCGCTGCAGTTCATTTTCTACTAAGCGCTTTTTAAGTGCTAGAAATTGCTTTGAAAAAGCACTAAGTCATTATTGGATAATGACATCTATTGACTCCATTGACTTGCGAAACTAAAACGCTAATTTAACTGTATGATAAGTAAGGCAGGAAAGCCCTTCAATATAATCTTTAACAAAAGATAACAATATCCACTTACCTTAATGCGCAATCCCTGTTCCTTTTCGAATATCAGACGCAGTCGCTTCCAGTCGAAGTTTGCCCTTTTCCTATATACGGCTAATGGTCCTCCGTTGGGAAGATCGGGAATAAAGCTCGTGTCCTCGCTGGTCATTGTGTGATTTGATTTGATTTCTAAGAATGAAAGGAAGTGAAATTTTCCGCGGATCAGTGGAGCTGTTGACGATCGAGAGTCTACAGAGCGATTGCGGTCTAAGCCCAATGCTTAAATGGCCCATACCGCCTAGACAACACCGCCCACAAGTGGAGCACTCGAACTGTTTTATCAACAAGCGTGCAGTCAACTGAAGCCGTAGAAAGGAAATATCTCAAGAGCTGCTGGTTTTGCAGCCATTAACTAATGCTAACTGGTTTGGGAGTCACTGTGCATGCGAGAGGTATTTACAGTCACCCTGAAACCTTTCATGAGCAGAACTTTCAAGCGGAGCTCTACACCACTGAGAACAGTGAGTTAGTGAATTTTAAGACCCAAAATGAGAACAGATTAAAATAGGCAATAAAACGTAGACTTAACAAACTTTTCTGAAACAAACAAATGTTTTATCGTTATACCATAGCTTAAAAGTAATCACTTTGCCCTAGTACACTTTGAGTAAATTGTCTTCATGCTTAAAAACGTAGTACAGTACAAAACTAGAGTACAAAACCCTTACAAAACAAACTGAAACTATATATAATATATTTTTGGAAACCCTTTCAACTCCATTCAGAGGATCATGACCTCGCAATGGCAAAACGAGATGATGAAGATTGCACGCCAGGTGAAGCGGAATCTCCCGCACCGAAACTTCCGGGAGATAAACTTCGATCGCGCGACCATCAGGGAGGGAATTACTCGTCTCACGTACGACGTGGCGCGCAGGATGAAGGGTCCTGTTTACGAGGCCCTGGAAGACGAATTGCGCCGGTCAGGTTGCACCATGTTGCCGGAGTTCCTGCATTGCCTGGCCACCAAGGAGCAGGCACTTTTCGAGAGCCTAAATATCCGCGAGAGAATCTCCGATGACTCGGAATTGCTCTACGGAATGGTGGACCGACTGAGGGATGCTGAATTGGCCGTTTGCCAAAACAAACACCGCGGTCTTAAGACCTGTTTTGGGCTCTTTTTCGAAACCATGCAGCTTTTGGAGCCCTATCGCCAGAAGTACGGATACGCACTGGTGGCCCTAAATGAGCACATTATTTCGCTCTGTCGAAACATCGAGGGTCAAGAACGAGAGGCTGCCGAGTCCATCTCACGAATATATTACTCGTACGCTTTGTATCTGGTGAACACGGGTCAGCGGGCCTCGGCCATCGATTACTTTCAGATCGCCATGGATCTGGTGAGAGGTCATGTGTGGACCGCCGAGGTGGGAATGCCCGCCGGCAGCCTAACGCTCCACGAACTGGTGGCCCAGAATCTCGCCAGGCAGCTGCTCATCCAGGGAAAGGTTATCGTTCGCCAGCATCCCGAGGAGGCGATCGCCATGGCCAGAAGGGCCACCGTTCTAATAGCAGAAAGTAAGTAAGAAACAATGAAGTAACCCAACTTAAAGGCTTTATAGGCAACACAATCTTTAAAGAAACTCATTTTTATATTCCTAGTATTTAAACAGCTTTTTACTTTTGTTAACAATTAACTAAACTCTTAGTTGGGAGATCAAAGAACATGGAAATATTTTGTGACACCTTCTTGGAGCGTGCTTTCTTTCTGATGGAGATGGGGAACTACAATTCGGCCCAGCAGTGTCTAGACCAAATTCGCACTCAGATTCTGGCCTGCACGGAGTATCGTTTTGTTAAGCTGAACATAAAGTACTACCTATTCCAGGGGCAATGCTCAGAGATGTAAGTACATAGATTATCTCTCAAGCAACACTTAACTCAATTTTACTTTTAGCTTTGAGCATGTGGACAAGGCCATATCTTGCTATAAGCGAGCTTTACGCTTGTCCCGACTTTACACCCATAGAGATTTGGAGGCAGAGATCCTTCTCCATTTGGGAAAGATCTTTGCCAAGGACACTCAGATGACGAGCATTGCAAAGAAATGCTACGAGCACGCCAAGCGCATTTACGTGGACTTCAACGATCAGCACAGCCGCAAGATGGCCAACTATTTGCAGGCCAAGTTGATGGCTGATGAGATCACACCACTGTACATGGCCATGTTAAAGGCATCCACAACTCGGTACTGCGCCTTCTTCAACCTTCGCCAGTGGAAGAACCGCTGTCGTCCCTTCTGGAAACGATTGGGAGACGAGATCATCAAACAGGAGACTGATAGTATCTACTGTCTGCTGGACGAGGAGAAGGAGGATCCTGGCCACGATGTGGCACTCTACGACGATGTCGATCTCAAGACATTCAAGCTGGAGGAAGGCGACATCTAGGATATCCCTGCTCTCCTCTATGTTGATAAAATTGTATTGTTTATTTGCTCATATTGTTAAATTAAATGTTTTCGGCAAGCATCTTGTGTTTGTTGTATTGATGTATTTTTTTTCCGATGATGCAATCAGCATTCCTTAAGCTTCACGTTGAAGTTGTGCCATAAATTCCTTAACTGGCATACAACAATTTATTGCTCCACGATACTTAAGGAATTTGCAAGCCTATCTTTGATGTCTGAAGTGGCCACCGGTTTTTATGGGCTCTTGGTTGAAAGAGCAAAGCACACGGAAATTTTATTGTGACACATTTTTGGAGCGTGCTTTCTTTCTGATGGATATGCAGCCAATCTTCGAAATATAATTAGAACTACGTGGGGTAATCTTGAAATGCCCACCTGATTATATGCGCCTTAAAGTTGGCAGATAAAAGAACAGGCACATTTTTGGTGACACTTTCCTAGAGCGTGCTTTCTTTCTGATGAAAAACACAAAAACTATGAGGTAATATTACTGCCTGTAACTAGATCGTTTGATATTAGAGAAGTAAATAAAATAAATAAGAAAAATAAATTCTTTAGCACAATATACAGAAACAAATAATATAATACAAAATATAACACAACTTGCTATCAATAGAAAAAATGTTTTCCTTATCTATTCATATTCCAAATTATGGTAAATAGTAAAGCAGCACTCGAACAACAAAAAAACAAATGTTGTGCTGAAACCCATAGTGAAAATACTCGTGTTTCGTTTTCATGGCCAGATAAAAGCAACAGAAAACGGCCGATTCCGGTGTCAACCAACGGCTAATTAGAACAATTAGCAATAATTATACCATCACCCCGCGGTCCCGTGATAAGTTATTGTTGTCTAGGTTCGGGAACGACCATAAACCGGTTTATATGGGTTCCTGAGCATTTTTACTGCTCCACTTAATTAGCACAACTCAATTCACAATCTCAGATATGTACTCGTACTTAAAGTTCCCCCACACTCTGCAATTCAGCGCAATCACGAGGAAATCACTCTCCGCACCAAATTGTTTGCTTACACTCAACTTGCGAAAAAAATTAGAAATTTGAAACGGAAATAAAAAACTCATGAAGATTAAAAGGGGCGTGTTCATGAGTCAGTGAATTCGGAGATGTAAATATTAGCTTTATACAGCTTGAGTCCAAACAAACTCATAAAATAATGAAGAAAAAACCCCAAATCTGATAAGTGGAATGGCAGTTTGAGCAGCACTGAACAGCTGGCCGGCAAAGTGGTAGCAAAACTTTTGGCTTACGTGATAAGCCCGCTCGAAATTTGTGGCCAGGTGGGGTTGTAATGGGCAAAAACCCATTAGTCCAATCGCTGTTGCGTGCCGGTGGAAATTGTCACAATTTGTTGGCCAGCCACCCACCGGGTGCTATTCCAATTGTGGGTACAACCTTGAACATGAAAATAGCCGGGAGTTTATTTTTATTCTCGCCCCTTTTAATCAATCAATTGGAGCTGGCGACCCGAGCAACATTTTTAAATGAATTACAATGCAATTTGCTGCGGCTAATTTCACTTTTATTTACACACACACACACACACACAAACACACCCCAGACAAATTAGCGCACAATCAACACTCTGGGCGAAGAGGGCCTCCAATTGTGGCCACATCAAGCCCAATTTACTCTGATATCATGGGTACAGTAAAAGGTTTTATTGGTGGAAATGCCCATTAGGGTTCAATACTATTTTATTAACTCAGAACAATATTGTCGAACAGAAGCACACAATATTTAGAAAGGTACAATTTAAGGAAACTAATATATTGATTTTAAGTACTTGCTGTATGCACATAAAAAGGGGAATAACACTCATAATTTCGAGTTTTTTATCTTTGGTGGTAATGATTAAATGATTGGATACATGAGTAATCCATGTATTTTTGGTTGATATCGCAATTTGAGCTTTCACTGTACCACTTGCACACCCTGTTTGCGATTTGTTTGGCTAAGGACTCGGTTTCAGGGTTCAGGGCTGGCTCATATTACATCACCGCGAAGACAACAAGTAGTAGGTAGAAACAATGTTTTGGGCCCACAAGGCGGGAGAGAGAGCGGCCGAAAGAATCGGAGTCACTAACTGAAACTCTGGGCCACGTGAGAGATGCTCTGCTTGCATCTGTGTGCGAAACACCAACCTGTAGCGCTTCTTTTACTTTTCTTCACTTTGCTACCGATGGATTTCCGCTACGGTTAGAACCGAAAATCGAAAACTCTTAGCCGGCTGAGTTCATAGAAAATGGCAATTAAACAAAAAGTATATGTACACACCCACGCACGCGGAATTCAAAAAAGAGCAGCGAAAACAACAACAACAGCGACCGGCACACGACCGCGAGAGAATTTGAGATTCGGGGAGTGGAGAATCGGAGAATTCGGGAAAAACTACGAACCGACACGGTCAACAGATGGGAAGTGAATGAGCAGAGCAGAGCGAGAATAAAGCCGACTGATTCATAACAGTATGGGAGCCCTACGGACTTTTTTATAGGGGCGAGTCCCACACGCACACGCAAAAAAACCACTTGGATATAAAAGCATAAAACACTGAAAATCCAAATTGGGAATGTTCCTGACTGTTTACATAAAGCAAATTTCCCGTTAATAAAAGCTTTGGTAAAAACCCTATGCTATATCCAATGGTTTCCAAAATTGTTCCAAATACTTATTCCTTTTTTTACTGTGCATCCGATGCTCTCTCTCTTGGGGATGTCCATTGAATGACGAAAGCGGGGGAGAGAGTGGGGAGTGGAAAGTGGGTCGATTTGAGAGCTGGTCACGCTTCTTCCTCTTCTCATTATTCTACCTCAATGTCAAGTGGCTGTGGTCAGAGCGAGAAGGTAGTAGAGAATTTGTTAACCGGCCGGCATCGTTATTTAGCTGTGTGGGTGAGTATCGCATTCGTATCCAAAAGATTAAAAGAGAGGGAGAGAGAGTACGAGATGAAATGTTGGTGAATTATTGCGCAAACAAGATACAGAAAGCCGGAAACCACGCGAGGGTTTGTGTCTCGGCTAATACGCTTATCAGACAGTCCTTGGCCTTGAACGAATAGCTTTAGACCAGGCCCATTCGAAAGTTGCTTATGGAAAAACAAAACACCAATTCAAGGAAAGGGAACTATAGCACGTGTAACACATCAGTATGTTTAATCCCAATCTTTTAAAAAAAAAAATTAAAATCTTAAAACTAAAACGCTTGTATTTCTGACTGAAAGATTCAATAAGAATGTGGATTTAAATTATCCCTCACTGACGAATCACTTAAGCTTTTAGCCCATAAGTATACCCCATTATTTATGACGCACATTTTTTGTGATAATAATTTAAATAATTTAGTAAAAGTTTTTTTCAGCTCTGCCAAACAAAATAATTTAATAATAAAGTTCCTTTTTGATGAGAACCCTAAGGTAAACAATAAAACATCCGCCTGTTGGCTTTCTCATATTTATTTATTTATCATTCTGTGGTCTTTTTCTTGTCGAACGAGAGTAGCAATATCAAAGTGACCAACATAATTGATTAGGATTAGTGTCTGCTAATTGATTACGATCGAGTTCTATAATCGCAATCCGCTCGAATGGCGTTAATTAAATTACTAAATTGACTCGGTTATACAAAGCACATATGCACGGTAAGTAGTGTATGGTTTAATGGGGCTTGTGCGTGTGGGAGAGGGTTCGTAAATCGTATAAAAAACAGTATTGTATTGTATCCATAACTAGAGTTTGGCAGCTGCGAATTTAACCGAATATCTTGTCGAAGCAGGTGTGGCAGTAGGGCTTGTCCTTCTGCTCCTTGAAAGTCCCCTTGTTCAGTTGCTTGAGGCAGAAGGCGCAGACGAAGTGTTCCGGATGGAATTTCTTGAACATGGCCGTTATGCAGCGTCCAGTAATTGGTTTCGAGCATCCAGCACACAGGGATCCTCGCTTGGCATGGTAGTGCGTCTCACAGTACGGTAGACCCTCGTGGTCGAAGAACGAGCCACCTTGGAAGGGCTGTCGGCAGTCCTATAAAAAATTCAATTAATAGATAGTTTAGTATTATCTTAGTGTATCTTATTTTTTTAAATTTGGTAAGACTTTTAAATATGGTAAAATAGTTTGAATAAGCAGATGGGATATAAAAAGTTGGGTACACAGTAAAAAGGGTTCTTACGCCCTTCAATAACCAATATTTTAATCGAAAAAAAGTATACTTTTTGACCTCGCAGAATTACAGTATTTGAAAAGTAGAAATGCTTACTGCGCCTCAAGATCAAAACTAAAACATCTTGGCACTAGATTTAAGTATGATTATGTGTGTTTTCGGAAATATATGAGAGGAACGAGGATGATGTATTGTGGGCCAAATGGTACTGCCGTCCCCGTCGGAGGCTAATTACGACCATAAATTAGTTGCCATATAGCGTGACGGACCAGCAAACCGATCGAGAGTCGACAACATAATATTCGCTGTGCAAAATTTTACGCCTGGCCTGAAAAACCTAATTAGAATTTTGTCAAACCGAAGAGGAGTGTCGAATGGGCCACCTCGATACCCTGGCACCACTGTGCCTGCCGTCGGGCTAATTGGAAAACAAAGATTGTACATTTCAAAAAACAAGATTTGAGGAAATCTGAATATGATAAATATATGAAAAAACAGTGGCCAAGACATCTGTTTTAATCTATTTCTTTGTTTCCTTTTTTTCGTTTTGAGCTTTTGGAAAAACATTTCGGCAGCGGGAAAAACAGCAACAATTGTCATGAGACAATAACATTTTGCGCACGCTTTTGGCCAGCACCCAAAAACGGAGGAGGAAAATCAGCTAAGAGGGCAGAGGACAATATCAGCCAACCGGCAACAGCAATCGAAATATTGGAACGAAGGATCATTGCGAACGCGATATCTTTGGGCGAAAAAAAAAACTATTTTCGTTTTTCACCACCTCATAGAAATCAATCATTCCATAAACAACAGGTGCAACAATTTCCTCTGAAGCATTTCATAACTTTTCTTTGTTGTTTATAGTACACACTTTATACGAATGGAAACTCATAAGTGGGGCAACAGCCACGAAAATTAAACCAAATAATCAATATCGATATGGACTAAAAATACACGAAATATTATATATGTGTATCGCACGTATTCCTCTTCAGTCAATGGAGAATTTCAATTATGTATTCTATATATTTAAATACTGATTGCAGTTTTGCATTATTGTTTTCGGGCTATTTTTGGCTAGACGTTTCTAGTTCAGTAAAATCAACTGAGATTGACGAATCGATTTAAATTTAGTTGGTCCAATCAATTCAATTAACACCCTGGGATGCCCATTAGAGCCTGGCAATAAACAGTGCGAATCTCACGTCCATTATAGACAGATATATATGTTTGTAGATATAGACAAGTACTATGCGAAGCATATAAATGCTGACTACAACGTCAGCAACGAAAATAGTCTCAGTTGGTAGAAATTATTGCTTTCGCTAATCGAAAATCTAATCCACAATATTGTAATTTGTTTATCAACCGGAAGGAGCAGCAACAAGAACGCAAATTTGCGGAGGTGGAATGGCTAAAACAACTAGACACATGTGTCAAGGTCGGCAAACTGACACTGACCTTGACACGAGGTCCCATTGGGTGGCTTTGGGTGGCTGGTTGCCACCCGAAGGTCGCGGCCACCTTGAAAAGATACAAACACTTTTCAACTTTTCCACTTCCCCATTTGTGTTCTTGTTTTCATTGCTTGTTTTATCTTATTTTTTTGGTTTTTTTTTTTTTTTTTTTAATGTGTAATAATTATTAAAATTTTATTTACAAAAACAAATTACAATATTGTTGATCATTGTCATAAATGAATTTAAATTTAAAAAGTACCTATTAACTTAAGCCTACAAAATTGCATAGAAAAAGTTCAACAAGTCGGGGGGTTCAGGGGCAAAGGACAAAGGGCAAAGGGGGCGGGGCAAAAAGACCATCATAGAGGGACTCCGAGACTCATTTTCCCCAGCGGCACCTGCCCCCAAAAGGGGCGGGCCAGCTGGGCGAGCGAAACAAGGGGGCGGGTTGAACGTAGGAGGCTTAAATTGCTGTTGCCACTGCCGATGTTGCTGCTGTGCGTGTTGCTGCTGTATATGTTGCTGTTGTATGTTGTGTGTTGCTCCTAGACCCGCAACGAAAATAGCCCGCGACGGACGGCGGGCAGCTGTTTAGGCCGCCAGTTCTTCGTGACGGTGATAATATATTAAAAAGTGGCACGCAGCTAGATACAAAAATGTATCTAAAGCCGCTGTATCTATTTTCGTTTGGCTGCTGTTGTTGAACTTCAGCAACATGTTTTTGGTGCTGCTGTTGCTGTTGCTGTTGCTGTTGCTGTTGCTATTGCTGTTGGATCTCCTCTATTCCTCCTCATCGACGCCCACGCACTGTGGACAGACCGGCTTGCCCTCCATGGCATAGAAGGACTTGCCGCGAACGGCCTTCTTGCAATCCTAAAGGATAAACGTGATCAGGACGAACGATTAACAGGGGCACAAATGAGACAAAAATATGAGCAGGGTAAATGCAAACAGCAGATTTAAAAAACCCTTTGAGGAAAGAGATTCTTGTCCAGTAAATTGAAATTAATATTTACTGGTCAATAAAGGAAGAAGTTTTCCACAGATAAATGTTTAAAGAGAACCATGACTTTTAAAAGCTGAATGTATCTGTGGAATACTTCTCCTTTAAATGGCTATTTTCTGAATGAAATAAAATTAGCATTAATTGGCAATTAAATGGATAGATATGGCTGGTGGACCTACCCTGCAGACGAAGCAGTCCGGATGCCACTGCGAGTTGAGGGCCGAGATGTAGTTCTCCATGATGGCGCGATTGCAGCCGTTGCACTTCGGGGCGAACATCTCGAAGTAGTCGTTGCGGCAGTAGGGCTTGCCGTCCCGCTCGTGGAAGCCCTCCTCCCCGAACTGCTGGCCGCACTGGGCGCAGAAGAAGTGCTCCGTGTGCCAGGTCTTGTCCAGCGCCGTGACGCACTTGTCCAGAATGGCGCCATTACAATAGGCGCAACGCGGGCTAAACAAATTGTGGTAGTCCGGTTCGCAGTAGGGGAAGCCGTCGCGCTCGAAAAAGTTGCGGGTGCCCAGCTCCTGGCTGCAGTGGTTGCACGTAAAGTGCTCCGGATGCCAGGTCTTGCCCAAGGCGGTGATCACCTGGCCGACGATCGGCTTCTCGCAGGCATTGCAGCAGCCCTTCTGCACAGTGTTGACTCCTTGGCGA